TGCAAGAGGCACAGACAGACAGGGAGTACCTTCAAGAGAAGGAACCAGTCCTTTCAGTGTTATACTCTGAGTTGTCTGGGTGCTGAGTGCAACAGAGAAATTAATCTCTGAGCATAGGAGGAGACACTGAAACTTGAACTCTGTTAGATCAGAGGGCATTGAAGATAAGAGTATCAGACAACAAAATTGTCTTATAGACAGCATCAGTGTCACTTTTTCAGCCTCCTCAGGGTTCCTCTGACATTGCCAGCAGAGTCTGCCCAGCCAGAGATGCCCCTGGGCAGTGCCCTGTGTTGCTGGAAGGGCTCTGCAGGGCAGAGTTGAGTCCCCAGGGCTTGGATGGGCACTGGCAGCACTGCCAGGGCCCAGCCCTGGGCCAAGGGAAGCAGCTGCTGGCAGGGACAGCTCCAGGCAGCAGAGCCCTGGGCAGGGAGTGGAGGGCAAGTGCCCCCAAGGCCTGGGGGAGGGGGTGTTCAGGCAGCTTTGGGGGCCCTTCCCTGCAGCTCTGCTGGGCACTGTGTGCTGGGCCATAGAAATGAGGATTCCTGCAGTGGAAAAGAACCTTCCCCAGATGTGACGGTAAAAATAGAAAACACAGTTACAATTATTCTAAGATCAGACTAAGCTTCTGCTCTGCAGCCTCAGCTCTTCTGAGTCATGGGTGTAGAGATGGAACTTTTGTATTCAAGGTCTGTTACATCTGACATTCCTTGTGTGTGCGAGAACTCTGTCAAAAAAGGATCCATGTCCCACTGCAGTAGAGCAAACCTGACTCCTTGGCAGTGAATTTGGTGACATTTGACACATTGATTTCTTTTAGAAATGGAGTGACTTTTTCATAGAGGTCTGTCTGAACTGTCTTCTCCTTTCCTGAACAGGCCCTATGCTAAGAAACAACAAATGTCCAACAGCAGTCCCATGCCCCAGTTCCTCCTCCTGTCATTTGCAGACAGGCGGGAGCTGCAGCTCCTGCACTTCTGGCTCTTCTTGGGCATCTCCCTGGCTGCCCTCCTGGCCAAGGGCCTCATCCTCAGCGCTGTAGCCTGCGACCACCACCTGCACACCCCCATGGGCTTCTTCCTGCTCCACCTCTCCCTCACAGATCTGGGCTGCATCTGCACCACTGTCCCCAAAGCCACGCACAATTCCCTCTGGGACACCACAACCATCTCCTACATGGGATATGTTGCACAGGTCTTTCTTCTTGTCTTCTTTCTTCCAACAGAGTATTCCCTCCTCACCATCATGTGCTACGACCGCTACGCGTCCATCTGCAAACCCCTGCACTACAGGACCCTCCTGGGTAGCAGAGCTTGTGCCCACATGGCAGCAGCTGCCTGGGCCACTGGGTTTCTCTATTCTCTGCTGCACACAGCCAATATATTTTCCCTGCCCCTGTGCAAGGGCAATGCCCTGGGCCAGTTCTTCTGTGAAATCCCACACATCCTCAAGCTCTCCTGCTCACACTCAGGCTACCTCAGGGAACTTGGGCTCAT